TTGCGCTAATGCATAATTGGGGAGTTTATTGCAGATTTTTCTCAAAAATAGTGAAAAACTGTTTTACTTGTACTAAGCCACTGCTTCAGCCTTAAATAATATCAGATTATAGTCCATGATCTATGTAAAAAGTTCACATTTATTGTCGTAAATAAGCTCAAATATTCGCAAGTATTTCCAAATTAGTACCACAAACACTTTGATTTTTACTGCAAAAAAAATCACAAAAAGAACCACAAAATATTCACTAATATTATTTAATTTTAAGGATATGTTGATATTTTAACAGCTTTATGAACAAGTTTTTTCTTTTCAATACATTCTGGCCCTACCGGCCCTTTAAGAGCATTCATGGTCTCGATTTGACCCAAAACGAAAATGAGTTTGACACCCCTGCTCCAAATAAAATAAACTGAATGAAAGTTTTGGAACATTGCGCTTAAAAACACAGTGCTTAGATTCAGGCTCCAAGGAAGCTACTATAATAATAAATAAATAAACAATAAAACATGTTGGAAGTAGCAGAATGAATGTGAAAACAGAAGACAGATTGTGATGTGTAGATGATACTTTCATTTGGCGCCTGATAGTAAATATCCATATATAGCGTGCGAAGTGGCTCAGCAAGAGAATATTTAGTGGTCGCTGTTATTCTCCGTGTCTCTCTAACGTCTGCCTGAGAACGGCACCATTTTTCCTCGGTTTGGTTTTAGTTAAAGCTCCGCCGTTTGAAATTGATTGCTGCAAGTCCAGTCGATCCCATCGGTCTCAGCTGTAGTTACGTCGTAGCGTTCGTATCATCGTTAGGCATCTGTTTTCATCCCTTCCCGTCTTCGCACCATCCATCTATTCCACTGTGAAAAGAGTCATTTGCGCTCCGTTAGCCTCAGATATTTAATTCCATTCTTTTTTCCATGTTTTTTTTTTTTTTTTTTTTTTTGATATTAATATTCGAAGCGCCGCTTTTTGACAAATGCGTTAATGCAAATCTTAAAATCCCCTGTGCTGCGGGTTTCTCCTTCTCATCATTGACCTCATTTATTGTTGTCTCATTTTTTTTCTGCCTTTGCATAGACCTCCCCCCCCCTCCCCAAACCCCCACTGCTATAACTCTACATAACAAGGCAGAAATCCCCTCAGGTGTCCAAATAGCCCCACGAGGGACTTGCGGCCCAGTGGGGCATCGAAGCTCATAGCTCCTGCTTGCCTCAGTGCGCTTAGCCTTGCAGAACGCTCTACAAGGAAGCAGAAAGGCTGCGGGAGGAGGCTTGTCTGGCAGCCAGCAGGCCAACCAGCCTGACTGGCAGATGGGGTTTGCGCGGCTTTTTCGCCGAGTGCTATTTCGAGTTTGCTCCGTGTTCCTCCTTCCCCCCTCCACACCTTCCTCTGCCTCACCCGTCTCTCATCCCATTTCGACCCCGTCACAGATTTCTCGCCGCACTGTCACTCTTTATCTGCGGCGGTCCAGTAAAGATGTCCTCAGGTAGGGAGTTGTGCTCGACGGGGCTTTACGGCAGCGGCGGCGTGTCCCGTGGCGCCGTTTTCATTAATCAGCCGCCCCTGTGCTCCGACGGTGACGGCAGATTGTTTCTGGTTTGGTTCTGTCAAAGTCGCTCTCACGGTGTCGCGGTCTCCGTGAATTAGGACGTCATGAAAAGATCGTCTTGTTCAGGAATTCTCTTTTGAAATGAATCACCTCATATTGAGTGTTTGTAGAGGCTGAGGTTTCTGTTTCAAAATCTTATGTTTTCTAAGAAACTGAATTTGTTTTTGTTTTTTTATTATAAGTGAACAATCTTTATACATTTGTAATGAATCTATAGTCATACGTTTAATATTTTTTAAATTAATGAAATGAAATCATCAGTGAAACTGCAGATTTATTGAGGTGAAGTTTAACAGCCACTTATAAATACTTTAATTTACAGTCATCTCATTTAAATGGTCTACAGCTAAAAGCCCAAACATTTAATAACTGTGAATATGGAGAGGGAATAATATTAGTGCAAAAAATACAGATCTAATCAACATCTCATCTTTACTTATCTGTTTTTTTTTTCTATATTACCACTTTTTCTCAGTTAAACTCCCGACCCGGCTCACCGTTGTGTCGTAACTACCTTTGCTTTTTTATTTTTTATTTTTATTTTTTTATCTTCCATGTGGGACATTAATCCCACTCTATTTCTACTCCGTCTGCTTATTTATTAAATTATCTGTTATTTCATCAAAGAACACATGGAACCTTTTAACCAAAATGTGTAAAATTTGTTGTTTTCTTTCTAACCGATCTCGGTGAAAACAGTAAGACAGCTGAAATGGGCGGAGCTCCCCCAAATTACACAGAAACTCTTCGCAATCGCCCGTCCCTCTTTGATCAAACTGTACCTAAGGCGTGACGGATGTTTCCTCCTGGGTCGGTGCTTCCATTCTTTCTCGACTGGTTGGTTTCACTTCCTGGTTCATCACCTTCATGCTGTTGTAAAAATAAATTGGTAACATTTTATTTGTAAGGTTGTGCACAACAAGACTTGCATGACAAAACGTGACATAACAACACCACGAAGGAGTCTTCATGAATGTTTACGACTGTTGTCATGACATCATTCGGTAAAAAAAAAAAAAAAAAATGAAAGCTTTAATGTAAAGTTACATTAAAACTTGCATCAAAGTCCATTAAAATGGTCAAGTTTGCATTAGAAGTGTCATTATTTAGCGAATGACTCTTCATGATGACATTCGTAAACAATGTAAACTCCTCCATCTTCATGACGGGTGCTAAGTCATGTTTATGGCATAAACTCATTTTCCAATATTGTACCTGTTGAACCTTTTCACTTTTTTTTCGCATCACAGCGTTAAACATTATATCTAAACTTTTCCGTTGTAGTTGTTAGTCTAATGTTGTCCTGCCTCTTTCCCAACACTGGTTTTCTTCTCGGTTGCTCTGTTTGTAGCGGCAGCCATATTGTCATCAAATGACCTGTAGAAGAAAATATTCCTAAAGCATTATGCTGCCACCACTATGAACTTGATTTGTGTTTTGTATGTAAAGGTAATAAAACGGTTCGTTTTAATTAGCGCTTATGATTTGTATTTTTTTTTTTTTTACAGATTATCTGCATAAAAGTCTCGAAACAGAGTGACACTAACAGCAGAATAAAAATCAAACTTTTTCTGTCAGTAGTGCTCAAATAAAGTGCTGTTAGTTTGATTTTTCAACATTTATTTCGTGCAACTTCTTTTGTTGTTTGAACAGTTTTGTGCTTTTTTCCTTCAAAAACTTTAAATAATGTTTATATTTTGTTTCACTACAGCTTAAAACAAACAAACAAAAAAAAGAACGATTAATTATCTCCTTTTCAAAAGAAAAATGTATTTTTTTTCTGGCTCATAAAGTGTTTTTAGGAGTGTTTTAGAGCAAAATAAAAGTAACTGTCCCTTATAATTGAGTGGATGGCAACGCTGCAGTAGATTTGCAGAAGTGAGATAATCTCTCCGTTTCTGTGTGATTGATTAAGCAGTGGTAAAATGAGCAGATAAAAGCTGGCTCTGCGTTGCATTTCTCCCAAACTTTATTCCTTCTTTATCACGACTAAAATACAAACAGCCCAGTTCTGTTTACTGATAGGGGGGTGTTGTGGGCCACACAAGTTATCGGGGGTGAAACGAGGCTGAATGCAAACAAATCCCACCGTTTTCAGAATCATTTTTGAAAAACAATGATTTTCCTTCCATTTTAAAATTATGTTCTACTTTGTATTTATCTGTTGCATAAACTCGCTATAAAATACATTGAAGTGTGCCGCTGAAATGTGAGAAAATCTGAAAGTAGCTGAAAAGACGACAACGTTTTTATGCAGCTCCGTACAGTAAAGATCATTTCTATTCCTTTTCATCTCCACTGTGATCATTTCTTGACGTGGGATATTATATTTATGTAGTTTACCTCGTGTTTTCCATCTGCTGCTCCATTCCTTTTCACAACAAACACATTACGGTTCAGTCCTGTTTTTATTTTTTTCTGTCTGTTTTCGTTTTGCCTGAAGTCAAAGCCTGGCAGCGTTTGCTTTTCTTTTGCGATTGGAGTATAATCTAGTCTATCCTTCACGTTATAATCTTTCTGCTTCGACATGGAGAGGTGTTTATACACAGCTCTGAGGAGATATTTCTGGATATCTCATCTATATACATTTATAAAAAAAAAAAAAGCTTCACCCACAGGTTTGGATTGTTTGCTGGCGTCTCCTCTCCGTCTTTCTGCTCTTCCTGGCATCCTCTCCGCCTCTCTTCCCCGCCGTTCCACTCCGGTTTTCTTCATGCCTCCCTCCAATGTTCCCGTTGCTGTTTTTGGTGTGTCTCCAGGTCAGTCATCCAACGGATCCGTGGGGGAGGTGTCGATGCAAGTGACTCTCGTCTCTCACCCTGGCACAGGAGAACACAAAATCAGCGTTAAGGGTAAGCGTCCTCCCACGCTCGGGGCCCGCCGAATCACAAGTGTTTCTCTGCCGTCCCTCTCCTAACGGGAGCGTCTCTGCTGGAAACTGTCCCTGCAGACAGAAACCGAAGGTGAAAAACACTTCAGGTTGAAGTAATCGCGCTGAAGACTGTAACTGTTTCAGACACGGGCCTGGTAGCTTGCATTAAACTCAACCTTATTTATAAGTGTGTGTGTTTTGTCACAGAGCTAGCACAGCAGTATTTATTTTGAAACATTTGAACAGCTGTTGGGTTTATTGCAATTAAATGGAGATGACTCCAATCCTGACATGATGACTTCCTCTGCCGTACCGGCGTCTCACCACTTTAACAATTTGATATTCTGACGGATCTCGTCGGAATATAGTAGCAAATGTTTACGCGTTCAACCAAGATGATGAATAGGCAAACAGTTTACTTGTTAGTTTTTTGCGTATCGATGTTCTGAGCTTCATTTAACCGCAGTTACTTTCAAGTCCGAAAGGTTCTTTAAGACAGATTCTAAAATGTGGGCGCTAATAAATATGTCTTTATATTTTTAATGTTTGATTCCTATTATGTGAATTTCAGAGTTTGCTCATAAAGACGGGACGTGTTTGATGTGATATTATTTAAGTAATCTCACAGTAGCGTTACCGCGTTAACATACTTGCACGGTGTACTAAGTGGAAAATAATATTGCTGTTTTAGGAGCTGCTGGTTGTTGTTTATTGAGTTTCCAGTTAACATTTCATGGCTCTGTGCTTTATAAGGTGTCTATTTGTGTTTGGTTGAGATTAAACCAAACTTCAGTTTATCAGCTTGTCTTTGTGTTGTATCGTAACTCTATATTAATGAAATCACTATTCCAGAGATCCAACAATCTGAATTTTGTGGGCAGTTTTACATCTCCAGATTTTGTACATCTTTGACCTACGAACTGTGACATTAGCTGACACTATATTATTATGTTGTACGAAAATATGAAAGCATAATTCCTGCAAAAAAAAAGTAAGCTTTCCTGATATGAACTGTCTTAAGAGGCGATATCGAGCAGCTGTCCTATTGTTTTTAAAACAAGACAAAATTATTACATTTTTAGCTAATCCCTGAAGATGGGATTTCCTGAACATTTTTGAAGTGTGTGTGTGTGTGTTGATTTAGATGTATTGAATGGTGCATAGACAGCTAGCTTAATGTATTCACAGTGTCCTGCTGCACCAATAAGTTAGGCACATTATTTTTCTCCATGTTGTGTATTGTTTGGTTCATAATGAAGGATTAAACTCTCCATGTGAGCAGTAATTTCAATACGTTCAGGGGCCCCCAAATTGAATTAATCAGACAATAAGTCATTCCATCACTTTCACTTTCCTATGTTGAGTTGAAACATAAATGCTAAGCACCGGTGCAAATGTGTGGTTAACTAAACCAACAGCTCTTCATATTAGTCTGTCAAAAGAACCATGATGCTCTGACCAAACAGTTCCAATTCCCAGTGGTTTTTATTTATTTTTCTGCTGTTTTACTTTGTAGCGGTACAAGAATAGGATTTTTTTTTTTAATATGTCATATACGATAAGAAAAAGAGTGGAAAAACTCAAACAGGTAAAACAGAGCATGTGTGCTAGGCTTATGCTTTTTCTATTGCTGGTTTAAAGCCTTGATTTCTCTTACCACCTGAATAAACTGTAACAATGATTTGACATGTCTTAGAAAGTACTTTTTAAACAGTAGCTTACATCTCCATTGTTCTTCTATCTTCATCTTAAAACCACTTCAATGATACTGAAAAAAAAAATCCAACTTTGACTCTTCTTTTCTCAGCGATAGCTCCCACTCTACATTCAGTTACTGGAGAAATATCAAATTTTTAAATTCACCGCTGTGTTTTTCGTTTTTGTTTGTTTTGTTTTGTTGATTCTGCAATTATTTCTTCTTCATTTCAGTGGTTGGAATAAACAACCTCACGTGGCAGACCAACGCCATGTTCCGGCCGTTTGTGGAGGTCAACGCCATTGGTCCACACCTCGCTGACAAGAAGCGCAAATTTAGCACCAAGACCAAGAACAACAACTGGTCGCCAAAGTACAATGAAACATTCCAGTAGTGAGTATCAAACTCTGTTTGATAAAGGCTTATAAGGGTTTGTCCGTTGTTGTTGTTTTTTTTTGTCTAAATATGATGCAGCTGTAAGTCAAACAATTGAGGAGTTCTTTGAGCTGTTTCCACCTGTCCCTTTATTACCTCACTGGGAGGATCTAACTTAAGGTTTAACGAGGATCCTAATTATAAGTCCCTAATGTATTTCTGCTTTAAACAACAACAACAAAATTTAAGGACCAGCTATTTGAAGAGGACTGAAGTCTTCAAATGCAGCCTGCAAAGCGGAAAGCCGAGCCAGCCGACGTAAAACCACTATTCAAAAAGCCAGAATTTACTGCATGTCACTAACTTGTAAAAAACAAAAACAACAACCAAATCTTACCGAGATATTGTTGACAACGTTTAAAAATTTTTTACACTAGAAGTCTTCAGCACATCCCAAAAATCCTCAAATTACCTGTAAGTTTGGAGACTAAAAAAAGCTTCTCTGCCTGTTTCATGCTCTTTTCACTATTGTAGCTCAGTGCACCCAGTAATGTCATGTTGAAATATGGCTGTGCCATTGGAGATGAATAACCTTCGCATTCAGTAAGCTTATGTAGTTTACTGACCTTATTTTCTGGGGTGCAAATGTTTCCAAAGCTTGACCCGACCAACTGAAGCAGCCTGGTTCTAAACGACTCTGGGCCTTGGAGGCCCAACATCCCGGGGTAGTCCAGTTACTCTGATGCATCAAAAGGACCTCAGATCTGGGAAGACAATAATTAAGCCTTGAGCTCAATTGTATGTGATTTTCTGCAGTTGTATATGGTTTATCCTGCTAGGATGAAATAGATTAGCTCACCATTTTCCTGATAAAATGCAAACACTCTTGGCTTTTTTTCAGCCACGATGTGAGCGATCTAGAAGACTTGGCTGCCAAATGTTTGGTCTAAGTGGAGACGTTCAGTGGCTGAACATGACTCCATTGTCTCATCATTGTCATGCATATAACAGGGAACCTTTTCACAGGAAAAATGTCATCCAGTCATGATTGCTTACTGACATTAAATCCAACTGGGAATGGAGACGAATGCCAGCGTCCCAAAAAAAGAGAAAAAAACCTGTTTTTGCAAAACACGAAATCTGATGCAGATTTCAGAGCAGATTGGTATTAGTTGCTTCCAAGGTAAATATGAACAAAGAAACTGTGATGTTGCGCAATTAGGTTTTACAGCCCATTAGGAGTTGTTCAGGCATATTGGCATTTACTTCATCATAAACACCAATGTGCATAAAAGTGAAGACTTTAATATATCCGTATGATTGGATTGCATTAATAGAGCACAAAACATCAGAAATGGATAGTATCTGCTTTTTATTGTCAGCCAATGTGTTTTATATTAAAAGCAGCCATATTACATTCAGTCTTACAAGTCAGATTGGTGTGAACAATCTGACTTCCTTACATTAATTTCAAATTCCTAGGAACATTTTGTTTCATTATTCCAGCTTTATTACTGGAAATTTTGGATCTACATTGACTGATTCTGAAGGGTCAATGAATGAGGTTTTTTTTTTTGTTTGTTTGAGTTTCTTGTATTAATTCATAAAATAAAAACAACAATTTCTGCTATTGTGCCCCACCAAAACGGCGATGTTTGGAAAATTTGACATTTGTTGAATGTGTATCAGCTATGAAAACTTTGAGGGCCGTCTGCAGCTACATGCAACTCAAATCCATTACAGCTACAAATAAGATCACAAAATGTGTGATGTGTTTTTTATTTATTTTTTTAGTCTTGATTTTAATAAATGAAATCTGTATACTGTCTTAAAACTGAATAAGGGAAGAAAGCCTTGCACAAGACAATGATGTACAAATCCAGTCAGTTACTTTATCCCAGTAATCTTTCTCAAATTTAAGACTCAATTTAAGCTCCCGTTTAGAAGAAATGTTTATTCTTCTTTTCTTTTTTTATTTCTACTTGAGTAAAACTATGTTGAAGTAGTGCTGCTCTTCATTTTTGGGCTCTTTACCCTAAACTCTGTGGTCCGCTCATCTCTTTCAGTATTCTGAGTAACGAACACGGTCCGGAGGTCTACGAGCTCCACGTCTCGGTGAAGGATTACTGCTTTGCCCGCGAGGACCGCATCATCGGCATGACGGTCATCCCGCTCCGGGAGCTGGCGGAAAAGGGCAGCTGCTCGGCCTGCTACCCGCTGGTAAAGAGCATCACCATGGACGAAACGGGCCTCACCATCATGAGGATACTCTCTCAAAGGACCAACGACGAGGTGGCCAAAGAGTTTGTGCGTCTCAAGACGGACACCCGATCAGCGGAGGAAGTGTCATAGTCCGGAGTAAATTAGGCAAAAACAAAACAAGAAAACAAAACAAAAAAAATGCAGTATTAAGAGTCGTGTCGTCTTCAGATCGGATAGATGCGGGGTGGGGAATAGAGAGAGCGCAGTCGCGCGGCCGTTGTTTGCGAGAGATGCCGGATGCGGCATCAGAACGAGTTCGTCCAAAGAGAAGGGAAGCGGGCCCACAAAGTGGCAAAGCAGCGAGAGCGAGAGTCGTGTTTGTTTGTTTTTTGTGCATGTGCGTAAAAACATCTGTTGGAATGTTCATTTTAAAACTAAAAGTATGTACAAGTGTTTACTTACCGTATGCTCACTATTAAGTACTATATTCTACGAGTTATTGTAATGAGACATGGATACCTTTTGTACAACATTTAGTCTTTTTGAGCAGAGATTTGTTCCAATAAAGTGCCAAACCAGTGAAAAAACAAAACAAAACAAAAACAACAAAATTAACATATATGAATTATGGTGAAGTTAGTATGTTTGAAATTTGCTCGGTTATTTTGTCCGGTGTAAGTAATTTTTTGACCGTGTGGCGTTTTGATTGTTGCAGACGTCTTGATTTCGCACCCTCGGCTTTAATTAATTAATTAATTTATTTGTTTGTTTGGCTTCCCGTTCTTCCACTCTGCACTGTTGTGCATGTCTTCTTCTCAATCATGTCTTTCCCATGATTCCACAGTGACCACCGAGCAGGGTCCTGTCCCTCGCCTTTCAGAACTGTTTGTATTTTACGTCGACCTGAAGTCAGATTGTGTGTTTTTGTTTTTTTTTAAATGGCGATGACTGCTATGTAAACCCTCGTAGATGTTTGTAATTTTATAACCGTGACAATGTTGGCGAGAGCCTCCAGTGCTAACAGTCTTAGCATAAAAGAGTGGAATTTTATTTTTTAGCGTTTTGTTTTGTGTTTTCCAGGTTATGTTTTTTCGCTTCCAGCCTTCCTGAACGACCACTGTGAACATGAGCTTTGGAAGGCAAGCTTAACACGACATTGCTTACACCACTTTGTTATTGTTTCCTTTTTTTTTTTTGTTCCTGATAAACTGCCAAAGTTATATTTAATATTTGTACCAGAGCAATTCATTACATGTATGAAGGCATATATGTAACATGTGATCTATTACTTTTTTTTTTTGTTTTTTTTTTGTTTTGTTTTTTTTCCAAGGCTTGATATTTTGATTGTTGATAGGGTGGTACTAAGATATTATTATTATTTTTTATTTCCTGTGAAGCTGTTTAAAACTATAAAGGTTGCACATGTTATTTTACACATTGGTTACTTCGACTTTAATCATTGGAATTATTTTTCTTCATAAAGGAAAGAGTCTAACATTTGGTAAATATGCAACATTCCTATGTATTGCACTGATGGCAAATTGTATGTCATGTAAATATATTTAGTGAGATATTGTAAAAAAAAAAAAAAAAAAAAAAAGGAAAAAAGTCTACTTTTCTTCTATGTGCATAAAGTTTGTGCAAAAGTGTTATAACATTCGGGTCATTCTGAATAGTGTTCCAATCTTTGAGCCAAAAGTATATAAATGATGAATATTTGGTAAAAGGGGCCAGTGCCCCATAAAACCACAATCAGATCTCAGTTATGAGATGTAATCCCTTGTTTTTAATTGAATTGTTTTTCCTCAAAAAATTACATCTGCACTACAGTGCCTTGCAAAACCACTTGAACTTTATCACATTTTGTCAAGTTACATTCAGACTTCAATAAATAGTAGGAGTGTAACGGTACACACACACACACACACACACACCCACACACACACACACACACACTCCGGTACATGTTCAGGTTTTAAAGTCATGGTTTTGTATATTTTGGGTACGCTGGCAGCAAAAAATATAAGTAGGAATACTTATATTACTACTTATAGGAATATAAGTTACTGCTGATTTTTTTTTTTCAATCAGCAGTAAAAGAATATTTTTTAATTTCTGAAATAATTTTTCAGTGAATAAAGTAGCATAAGCAGGCAAAGTCATTGCCTGATTAATATAAGTAATAGTATAATATAACCAGTTGAAAATGGTCAGTGTTAATGTTTAATGGCCTTTGAGTAAAACTGTGACCATATTTGAGAATAAAACATGGTTCAATCTCTTCAGAGTTGTTTTGATATATTGATAAGTGACCCAGTTAAACCTGGAATCAGCAATACGCAGCTGTTGATAGTAACACAAATTACTCCAACCTGCATTTCATGCGATCCAATTGGATACTACAGGCAGCCATTTTGAAGTCAGTTGATTTGTCTCCAGTTATTGGGTTTATGTTCTGCTTCACCTTGTTTCGGATGACAAGTGTAAATAAGTGCAGAGTGAGCTACATGCGTCTGCGTTTACAGAGTTTTGGTTCGGTTCATCTATGATTTATCACTGTAACTTGAGAAATCTTATTGTAACAAAGCTTAGTGACAGCTGGGAGCCTTCTCTGTTTGGTCGCTTTAACCGTCCAAATGTCCTTAAGAGTTTGGAACCCATGAGTTTTTTACTCTGCGCTTTTACACAATTTTATTTTAATTTTTTTGTGTATGTGTGGTTTCGGTAACTGACAGTCTGACAGGACAATCCCCCATCAGACGGTAAACGTGAACTGTAAAACACTGCATTGCACACATAAACAGTCTGCATGTGTTCATCTTTTAGGTTTGAATATGTGCACCGTTACACCCCTAATAAATTATTTTAGTGAAATAAAATTATGAAATGTTTTTTTTTTTTTTTTTTTTTTTTTTTGGGTTTTTTTTTTGGCCCCTTAAAAATTAAAACCCTTAAAAAAAAAATAAGGGAAAC